AAGAAAAACATCCCCTGTGCCTTTACCTCCTTCAGCTTCCTGCTCAGAATAATCCCTTGCAGTACCTTCATGGTCTTCATCATTGAGAGCCCCCGGTATCTCTTCTGCAGCTCCAGAGAATCAGAGCTCTTGTCAGTAGGCTTGGTACTTGTTTCTTGGTGCCATTTTGCCTCCACAAGGGCTTCCTGCGTGCAGTCCAAGAATTCTTCATCTGGAGGGGGAATACGTTTGCCTCTAGCCCTTTCCCCTTCTCTTCCAGATGAGCAATCAGCCTGCACTTGTAGCACGTACACTTCTTGCAGTATTCACAGAGGGAAAAAACAGCGCGTTCCCTGGAGGTCACAAGAGCAGGTCTCTCTGTCTCCATGGTCTTCTGTTCAACAACAAGCAACTACAAAAAAGTCCTTCCCTCATTGAACTTTTGTTGGCCCTCCTTCGTTTGCTCGGTGACCTGGTGCTCTAGGCAGCTGCTTCCTTATATGTCCACTGAAGCTGCCTCAACTAGGTCAATAGCAAGCAGTGCTCCAATCAATCAGCAGCTCTTAGGAAAGAATCGACAGCAGCTGCTAGTCAGTAGTCAGTCTCCCTTCCTGGCGCTTCCTCTCTTTTTTGCCTCTTCCTTCTCCTCGGTTGAACTCCCTTGCCAAGCTCCCGTTCACTTGTTCACTTCTCTAGTTTTAAGTTGTCCTGATAGGATTTGTGAGGTCTCTGCACCCTCCCGATGTTTGGAAGATCTGAAACAGTATAGACCTGCCTTCATCTAAGACGCCACTGAATTTTCCTGACCTGGACAAGCCCTCTTGCTTCCAAATCCTGCTTTCCTAGGAAAGTTGCAGCTTTTTCTTTTCATAGGAGCTCTGCCTGCAGATGTTCTCTTTGCTTTTATGCCTGGACCCTGCACATTCATCTACTATTAGAGGCATTATAATATATAATAGTATAGTATTATATAACTTGAACAAATAAATAGGTAACTGGAGCAGACCGGTCTGTATTTCAGGCCAGATTCTGCCACTCGCCTTCCACTTCCCAGCCTCCCCACTGCACTCTGTTTTAACCAGAGAAATGCAGCTCTGGTTTCTCCTGTGCGGTGACCCCCTTGGCCCACTTTCCAGGCTTCTGTGCTCGGTTCCCCCTTCCTGGGATCCTCATCCCTTTCATTGGTGCCTTTCTTCCTGGCTGCCATCCACTGGGACTTAAGGAAATCTGAGCTGCTGGGTATTTGCTGCCAGGGTTTTTAGAACTAACTTAGCTTTGCCATAGTAACTGGGGGGCAGCTGAGGCCTGCTGTGAAACGCTGACCAGACCTACTCTGCCTTGCCAACAGAGAAGCTGCAGGAAGGAAGCATCAGCTGGTGGGGGTGGTAGCCATGCCCCCACAGGGCTGAAGTGGTGTGATATTTCCTGACGGCAAACCCTGATGTCCCCATACCTCTCTTCTGCAGTGGGGAGTCTTTAAAATGATAGGGATGGATAGTAAGAGTGGGCAGGGGAGAGAGAACCGCCAATGTCCATGTTCCTCACCTCTCTCCCATTCAAAGCTTGTCTACATCTTGCAGAAATGGCATTTGCCTTTGCTGGGACAGTGCTGCTTCAGGCTGGCCACTCCTCTAGGTCCAAAACACAGAGATTCCTCACTGAGCAGGATAAAACTCTTCTTGACATTCTAGGTTTTACATGCATGGTTTAAGGTTGTTGTTTTTTTTTTAAAAGAGGAGCAATCTAGTTTTGAAGTGGGGTAACCTGGTTGGTATTTTAATGTCATGGTAGGTTGTGAAAGGGACCGTAGTTTGAGCTGGAGCCCTGGGGAGCCACCTGGGGCCTCATGACTTGGCTGAGTTTTTTGTTTCTTTTTCAGGGTTTGGGTTTGTCACCTTTGAAAGCGAAGATATTGTGGAGAAGGTCTGCGAGATCCACTTCCATGAGATCAACAACAAAATGGTTAGGGCAAGGAAAGTTTGGTAGGGTGGTAGTGGGTTGAGTTGGTGGGATGGTGCTGGTGAGTCTTTCTTCCCATTGGACATGAGGGTCAGACAGCCCGGCCTTTGCAAGTTGACCCATGGCCCTCCTTGGCGGTTTTACCATCTTACTGGTGAGTTTGGCCAAGTTTAGCATAACCAGAGGCACAGTGAGTGACAACAGATGCACGAAGATTCTTCTACATGCCGCTTCCTTGAAATCAGCCATATCCAATCAGGTGTTCTCCAGATGTGTGGAATTCAATACCCAGAATTCTTAGCAACAGTTGTGCTGGTTGAAGAATTCTGGGAGCTGCTCTGTATATCTGGAAAGTGCCCAGCTTGAGGCAGACTGCCTTAAAATGGAAGCTTGGTCTTGTGTTTATTATTTAAATTAGTATTTATTTAAAGCCTCCTTCAAACTGAGTGCCACTCCTGTGATTTCGTGGATACATCCATGCGGTTTTCTTGGCAAACATTCAGAAATGTTTTTGCCCCCTTCTCGGGAATATTGAGCAATATTTCTCAGCTTCCAGGCACTAACCAGGCCCAGCCCTGCTTCCCTTGCAAGCTCAGAGAGGGTCAGCCGGGGCTGAAGAATCCCCCTCGAGCCAAGCTTGGGACTACCTGGCGCTCTCCGTGCCGATTTCTTGGCAGCCGCGTGAAAGTGCTATTCATTGCCTTCTTCTGGGGTGCATTTTCAGCTTCCTAGTCTAGCACATAGTCCTGGAATTTTCTAGCAGTCTCCTATCCAGATCCTAAGTAATCCTGCCCCTCTTAGCTTTTCTGAGATAGCCAAGGTTGGCTACCTGCTGCTGCTAGCTGGGCATACTTATTTAATTTTACGGTGCCCTTCTTTCCTGACGGAGCGCTCGGGGTAGCTTGCATCTTAAAAGACCCCTCCCTCAGAAAAGGTTAAGCACCAGCGAATGAAAACACAAATCAGTGACCGAAAGGGAGGCGCAGTTTGGTCCTCCTGCTTGCCCGGCGAAAGAATCCTGTTCAAGAGTCACACATCCCCGAACCTGCCGCCTATCTGAGGCAAAGGCCACGGGGGATGGCGAGGCTAAGAGGCTTTCTTCCTAAATGCCTGTCTCCCGTAGCATCTGCCCAGCTGGTTCAATCTGGCAGGGTTGGCACGCTCCGGGTTCCATCGATTAAACTACGCCACCTCTCGGGACCCTGGAGGTGCCCCTTCTCTGTGGCATCGCCTGTCCTCTGGAATGAGGTTCCTCCCGAGATTCAAATGGCTGGTATTTCGAAGGCCCTGAAGACGTGGCTCTTCGCCCAGGCCTTTGGCGAAGGCGATTGGTGCCCCTTCCTTCCCATCCCTTGTTCCCATCCGGGTTTGTTTTCTCTGCCATCTCTGCTCTTTTGATTTGTGGTGTTTTTGTGTTGTTCCTTGTTCTGAAGTGCTTTTAAAGAATTTGAGAATTGCCCAGAGTCACTGGGAGCTGGGCGGCGTATAAATTTAATAAATTGTTATTATTAATAGAAGAACATGATGTAATTGGGGGAAGATTCTGTAAGTTTTATTGCAAGGGCCCCACTGTTTATTTATTGGCATGTTTGGGTGTTGTCCAGAAGCAAAGTTCAGGGGAATGCCTTACAGCAGTGTTGTCCAAACCTGGCCCCTTTAACATG